TGCATATTTAGTTAATTCATGATACATATTTAGTTCTTACGAAATGCATATTTAGTGCTTACGAAATACATATTTAGTTCATTAACAGTGCATACCTATTTTATTTGAGATTCAATCATAACAATTTATTTGTGTTATTAATCAATTTAAAATTAAAACTAATTATATAATAAAAATCTTTAATTATTATATTTAATTTAATTGTATAAAATGTATATTTTATCGCATATTTTCGTTTCATATTTAGTTCATTCTTGATGCATATTTAGTTAGTAAAATGTGCATATTTAGTACATAAACAGTGCATATATAGTTGATATTATTGGTGCATATTTAGTTCATAAGATGACATATATAATTCATATCTTATGCATATTTAGCTCATATTAAGTGCATAGTACTGTATGCATATTACTTCATACATAATGCATACTAGCGGTCAACAGGTCAACGATGGAGTCAACGCGGGAAGTCAAAGGTCAATGCCGAAAGTCAACGCCGAAAGTCAACGGTCAACGCTGGAGTCAACAGCCAACGCCGAAGTCAATGGTCAATTGTCAAAATAATATTTAAATAATTAAAATAATTAAAATAAAGAATTAAGTAATAAAAATAAAAAATTATTATTTAAATAAAGAGTTAAATCTTGGCCACACATCATGTACCAATCTAGTGGCTAGGAATGAGTCTCACATGCACACTTTAAATATGTGAACTCATTGGATCCAATCCATATATATATATATATATATATACATAATTGTAGGTAACATAATAATTTTTACATATATTGTTATGACTTTGTAGAAAACGCTTGATTAATATTCTAATAACTAAAAATTGTTTTGATGTTATAGGAAATACATGATTAATCTTCTTTTTTTTTTAACCAAAATGACAGAGTGACTAATATAAACACAACGGGGACAAAGTCCGAATACATAGAATAGATACAAATAGCAAGAAATCAAAGGACAAAATGAGAGACACGCCCAAAGGCTGCCTAAAACCTCGAAAAGAGGAAAGCCACAAATTACCAAAAACAGATAAAAGGAATCAGAACCCCTCTACTGCACAATGCCTAGAGGAAGTCTGATTCCAGAAAACAAAAACAAAACAAGAAACTAGGAAGAACTATGAATAGATGAGAATTGAAGCCACTCCAAGTGAGCAATCTTGAGCAACTTAGTCTCTGGCATGAGAGAGCTGTAAAAAATCCACAGGTTTCTCGATTTCCAAAGCCACCAAAGGATGTAGGTTGATAATTGGATCCTATCTTCAGTTGCTTTGGAGTGATCAAGAGAGCATATATGATACCACCAAGATTTGAAGGAGTCCCTGTGGTCTGATAACCCGTCCCATCTCACTGGCATACATGATTAATCTTCTAATAAATAAAATAATCTTAAAATAAATAATATTGTATTTAATTATATTTTTACAATCATATGTTGATATTAATATGTGTAAATAATGTATTAATCAAATTATATTTTTGGTATTAAAATTAATTTAAAATAATAAGAATAAAATGTAAATAATATAGAGTAAAATGTAGAGATAAGGTTGGAGACAAATGTTTCACTCTACTCTAGAGTATAGTAAAATCCGCGATAGAGTAGAGATAAGGGCCGGAGATGGCCTTAGAGAATGCAGAGGGCAAGCAAATGTATTAGAGCACCCACAATACATCAGGTCTAATTTGCATATGTGGCAAATAAATAGACTTGAGTCCATAGTGACATGGACAAACCCAAGCTAAAAAATCCAAAATTTATCCAATGCAAAAAAAAAGGTACTAGGTCTAGTATACCCAACAACCAATAAAAATAGCATAATAATAAATGCATACAAAAAAATATGTTTTGTCTATTAAAAAGAAAAAGAAAATTGTGAACATTTATTGACTAGGTAGGTTTGTACTTGAGTCCAAAATAGACCCAATGGTGAGCTTGGTTTCCTTATTCTAGTGCCACTAAGTTAGACCAAGTTTACTTTTTATTACATCGGAATACATTTTTTATAGACTTAATCTATTTCCTATATGACACTTGGTTTTTGTTTAAGAGACTCAAAGAATTGCGGGTGCTCCTAGGGATTGACAAGAAATTTAATTATGCATTAAGGATTGTTGAGGAATTAACGCAAGATATATTCGGTAACGAAATAAATTAGGAGTTGTGAAATATTCTAACATAATTAGCCTTGTAATTTGGTAATAAATCCATTATATCAGAATGAAAGATCACAATCACCTCCCATTTCCCATTTGAAAATAAATCATTTACGGCCGTCGTATGATTAAAAAAAAAAAAAATGACCGTTAAAAGACGCTCCCACCCAATTGACAATTCATTCAAATCACATAAAAAGCAAGAAACAGACAAAGAAATAAAACCCTACTCTTCCAACTTCCATTTGCAAATTCCTCTCCGCCTCTCTTGTTCTTGTTTGCTCACAAAAATCTTCCCATAATCAAATCAAATCAAACAATTCTTTCATTTGAAATTGATATTTGCAGTTCTGTAGAAAGATGTCGAGGATGATGTTGAGATCAAATGGTAAGCCGCCTCTCCCAAGATCTCCCATACGCCTTCGTCCCCGCCGCCAAGCTCTTCAGCCCATCAACAATAATCCTGCTCGCACCCCACCAGGTTTGTTTATTTGTCTGCATTTTGTATGTG